TCACTGATGTTCCTCTCCTTCAGACTCTACTACAGGGATTAAGTCTCATGACTCCTCCATACCCAGCCCATATATTTTCATTCATGAGGCCGTTGTGAGATCCCCAGCCCTCAAATTCCTTCTTTGGCAGGAAGTTCCCGAGACTATGCAATGTGACTCATACCTCATTAATAGGGTCATTAAGGGGTTATGGTGGACCTGGGCAAACAACTGACCAGCCAGGGCAGTCTTTTGTCCCCAGAAGATCTGATCAAAATCTTCCAGGCGTTTCCAGGGGCTTGGGAGGGTGTAAACATATTTTAGGGCCATCTCCATAAGCCTAGAGCAGATATCAAAGATGAAACCACCAATTTACCAAATCCTACCTGTTCCTGGATCCACCAGCCCCACTCCACTCTGACCATTTCCTCACCCTGCAATCACTGTCCACTCAAAATCCAGCCTCTTCTGCTCATGGAATCTCATATTTGGAGGCAGATCATCTAAACTGCCTGCAGCAATTGTCATGGGTAACCCTTCCTTCCAGGTGGCCCAGCTAGGATATGGGGACAAAGGTTAATGGAGGGGGTAGAAGTCATTAATGGAGGAAGTTGTCAGTGAAGGGGTTCACTGGGAGGCTTCTAAAAGGGCAGTCACCAGTAGATTTGCTGTCTTTCCTCCAGTTCCTTTTCTCGATGCTTCTGGAACACATCCAAGGTATTGTTTCCTGCCAGGCGGGCTGGGGAGACATCAAAGCAATTCTCTTCAATGCTTTCTGCAACCTCATGCTATGCCCTGACTTCTTTCAGACTCCTGTTTATTTTTAAACTGTTGACAGTATTATAGATGTCCCTCAACTCTTCTCTCCTGTCTACCCCCTCCCTGTCCCTGCCCCACTTGAGGCTTTCACCACACTATTGGCTGTACCCATAGTTATGCGTGCATGTATAGAAATTCTTTGGTTTTAATCTCTTCCCATCTCCGCTCACTCCCCACCCCACCTCTGAGCATGTCAGTCTGCTCCATGCTTCTATGTCTCTGGATCTATTTTGTTCATCAGTTTATTTTGTTCATTAGATTCCACTTATAAGTGAGATCATGTGATACTTGTCTTTCTCTAACTGGGTTATTTCACTCAGCATAATATTCTCCAGGTTAATCCATGCTGTTGTAAAGGGTAAGAAATCCTTATTGTTTGCAGCTGCATACTATTCCATTGTGTAAATACACCACAGCTTTTTTATCCACTCATCTAATGATGGGCGCTTGAGCTGTTTCCAGATCTTAGGCATTGTAAATAATGCTGCAATGAACATAGGGGTGCATATATTCTTTCTGATGGGTGTTTAGGCTTCTTAGGATATATTCCTGGAAGCGGGATCACAATCTCCTATTTCTTAACTGTATGGCATCGTACTCTTTTGATTTTTTTCTCTGGCCCTGTCTCCTCTCCTTAGTTCCCTAGTCATTCACCTTTCCCCATCCCCCCCCTTTTTAATTTCAAAAATCTTCAATCTCATATTTTTCCTGAGAGGAAAATCCAATTTTTCACACCCTATTGCAGTGATGGTGAACCTTTTGAGCTCAGCGTGTCAGCATTTTGAAAAACCCTAAGTTAACTCTGGTGCCATGTCACATATAGAAATTTTTTGATATTTGCAACCATAGTAAAACAAAGAATTATATTTTTGATATTTATTTTATATATTTAAAGACCATTTAACAAAGAAAAATGAACCAAAAAAATGAGTTCGCGTGTCACCTCTGACACATATGTCATAGGTTCGCCATCACTGGACTAGACAGCTCTAGCAGACCTGACTCCTCTTGGATAGCCAGGTTTCAGGTAAGATAAGGAGATGCAGGCAAGGAAGTGAAAATCACTGTTCAGGAAAGAGGCTGAAGATATGGGGCATTCCATGATCTCCAGGGTTCCAGAGGCCATAGTTGAGGGCATAGGAGGGTGGGATACATAGTTATCAGTAGAGCAGAGACATCAATTAGCAGTCAGAGTGGTAGTAGCTGTGGTAGTCTGTACCGTTAGTGACCCCAGTGAATCGTGTCTCCCTGTGTCATGTTCTTCCCTTGCATTTGGCCTGGCTTCATCTCACCTATCCTCAACTTCACATAGTTTATAGTTGGTAACCTGGCTTAATCCTGCCCTCGTCGGTACTTATACTTACTTGTGCCTCAAAGACATTTAGTTCAGGCTTCCAGTCTTACCTGTCATTTCCCTCAATTGTCTCTCATACTTATTTCCTAAGGTAACAGATTCTCTCTTTGCTGTCCTCATTCATCCTCACCCTGTCAGTGTGCTCCCTGCCCTCAGAGTTTTCTTTCATGAAAACATGGAATACAACTCTTCACAAATCAGCTATCCACCTCATATCATTTATTTGCTTCCCTTCCCTGCCTCCTCTCACCGGTCACGTGTGTCAGCCTTACCTGTCCCTGCGCTGACTGGTTCCCAGTCACATGGAGATTCTTTCCACTTTACTCTGGCTCTTCTGTCTCCCAGCGTGGCTGCACCTCCCGTTCCCTCTGCTCACCTTTTTGGGAGGTAGTGTCTACACATCACTCACTTCCCTGTCCAGGCCCACTTCCAGCCTTTTAAATTCTATGTATAACTTTCCTCATCTCTCTCTGGCCCACCCTTACCCTACTGAGCACGCACTTTTTCAAGCCTTTTTCAAGCCTCTAGGACCATCCTCAGTGCAATCCTCCCTCCTCCCCACCCCCCATCCTCCTCTCCACTGCTCCCTACGCCCTGCTCCCACTTCCCCGAGGCGGCCCCTCACCGGTGCCCTCGGGCAGGGTCAGCACGCCCTGGCCCTGCACCCAGCGGTAGCAGGGGAAGGCGGCCTCCTCTAAGGCTCCTGGGCCCTGCACGGTGATGCGGTCGCAGAACCAGGCGTCGTCCACCAGGGAGTGGTGTTTGCGCAACTTCACGAACTGCAGTGGCCCCAGGTCCTGGGGAACGTCCTGTTCGAACTCCTCCACCTGTGGGGACAGAACCCGGTGAGACTTAGTAGCGGGGACCCGGGAGAGGACGTTTCACTGAGGGTGCGGGGTCCTCTGCGGAGTCCAGTGACAAGGCCTCCAGGGACAGCATTGCCTACTCCCCGCACCGGGCGTCTCAGACGTCCCATCGCACCGGGAGGACAAGAAGGCTGTGCC